ACTTTACAAGGCTTTGCAAAGCTGTTCCACAGCTCTGCTTAATAATGAGCAGTGGCTTCCTGGGCAGAAGGAAAAAGCACTGGGCGGCTGTTCTCGTGCTGCCTGCCATGAAGATTGGGGCACATACCAGAACCACAAGTCTCCATAAATGCTTCGTATCAGGAAATGAAAATGTGGTGGTTCTATGAGCTCGCCGACATTCAGAAAACCAGGCATCAGTAGCCACCTCCACAAACTGGCATTTTTCAGTCATTTTCTTGCTTTTATTTCTCAACTTAATTCCATCTTTCACTGCCTCCCTGTTGCTTTCTAAAATAAACCTAACCTTTCACTCTGTTCTCTTTGTACTAATGCTAACTTTAAAGAGCACAGAGAATTCTTGGTGGAAGACCACCACCTGAAGATAGATAATTTATCTCCAACTTCACAAAAGAGGCTTTAGAAACCACCACTTTCGGTTGAGCACGGTGGCTCACACCTGTAATCCCAGCACTTTGGGAGGCCAAGGCAGGCGAATCACAAGGTCAGGAGTTCGAGACCAGCCTGGCCAACATGGTGAAACCCTGTCTCTACTAAAATACAGAAAATTAGCTGAGCATGGTGGTGAACACCTGTAATCCCAGCTACTCAGGAGGCTGAGGCAGAAGAATCGCTTGAACCTGGGAGACAAAAGGTTGCAGTGAGCCGAGATCGCGCCACTGCACTCCAGCCCGGGGACTCTGTCTCACTTAAAAAAAAAAAAAAAAAAAAAAAGAAACCACCACTTTCCAGAAAATAAAAATATTTTAGCTGACTCATACTTAAGACTGTCCACTGCTGTCGAGTCACACGATAAAATATTTTTGTGTTGATCCATGAGAACTATAGAATGAGCTATATGGTAAGAATCATAAGCCTATTTCCTTTTTCATCAGTTAATTTTTAAGTTCATAGCCTCCCCAACATCTATATGAGAATTTCCTGAGCTGAAGTGGCCTCTCTCATTTCATAGACATAGGGGCTATTGCCATGGGAAAAGTGGAAACCCTAGAGACCTGCCTGAAAAGAAATAGTAAAATTTCAACAGGGCATGTTGAATGTTTATATGGTACCACCAAGAACAGGCAGCCCAATACTAACCTTCTAGCATTAGCCTGTACATTGTTTCACTATCTTCAAAATATATTATCCTCCTCTGTCACCTAAAAATCTAGTCATTTCCTTTCCCTAACTGACATCCAACTCCACATTCAATTGGTCACTAAACCCTATTCATTTTCTACCCTTACTTTCTTCAATCACTCTTCCCTTCTCACCATCATCTCTGCCCTACCCTAGTCAAGCGTAAGAAAATTATTCCAAGCCTGACGATGAAGAGTTGACAGGAATGAAAATGACATAGTAGGGCCAGGATGGAGGTAAAGCAAGAGACACAACTGGGGTGCAAAATTTAAGGAGACTCTCATCTGTGGATTTTGCAAGTGTAGGGCCTGCTGAGAGTGAGTGCCTCCTTGGGTTTTACAAACTAGGTACTTCTTTTTGCCTCACCCCATCCCCAGCTCTGTGATATGTTTTTTTCTATTATTTTAAAAACTACTGTTGCCAAAATCTATGTATGCTTGTCCAGACATTACGCACACTTATCTAGATATAACAAATTCATCCAGGCGATATACTCGGGCTCAGATGCTGCCACTGGGTGCCTGCATACGTGGAGAATTTTACCAGTGCCTAGGAATGTTTATTGAGCAGCCATTTTTCTTTATGGATTTTTTTCCTCTGGCCTGTTATAACCTGATTTCATTTTCTGGTTTTATATCAAGACACCAGCATGTTTTTGTCATCACAGAACACCGTTAACACTCTAGGAGTCTCAGTCAGGCAGCCAGCACATGGGAGATTGTTAACTTCAGTATCAAGAGGCAGAAGCATGACAGTGGTGAGAAGGTGGTGATCCATGATGAAAGATACCATGAACAGAAGTGAGGTGGGCCGCGAGGTGCTTGTTATTAATAATAAAGTATCAACACCTGTCAACGATTCACTTTTTAGATAAATTAAAGCAGAATCAAGGTAATCGCCATAACAACATCTTCACACTCTCTAGAATTCCCTGGAGTACTAACATGCTTTCCTCAGTGGAAAAGAAGTGGCTTTACATCTGGCCTTTCCAGCACTACTTTTACCTTTTTGTTTTGTTTTTATTTATTTGTTTTTTACTTTAACGTTTTAAACACTATGTACACCTGTGCAAAGTGCCGTCATCCATTAAACATGTCCCATTAGGAGTAAAAGGCTGAGAATGGCATCTGTGAGTTGAGCTTGGTAAACCCAGGAGGCCCCTGAAAATGTGATTTTCTCAAACATTGTCTCTCAAACATCTCTGGAGTGCTCCTCTCAGAAATTTCCCTGGAATTATCTGCATGTGTTTGGATCTCTGTCTTGCTGAGGCCTCATGGGTGGATCCTGGGGTGCTTTTCCCTTCCTTCGCATTCAGAAAATACATGTAGGCTCCTCCCTCCCACCAGCTTTTCATCATAGTCCTTGATTAAAAGGACCTCACCCTAAGGTCTTTGTTTCTTTTTTCCAGTGGGTTGGCTCTCGCCTTCAGGATAAACCCATCTCAGAAGACACTGGACTTTACTGGTCCTCCTGGGTTACCTCCAGTCATCCTCGTAACAATTCTCCCACTATTGTGTGTACAAACATATATACACACATATTTCAATTTTCCTTTTCTTAACTTTTACAACTCTTTCGGTAACAAAGAGTTTATTCGAGGAAATTCTTCCCCAAATTACTGTGATTGCCTCCTAGCTAATCTCCCTACCTCCAGGCCAAATCTCTTCTATTTTTTATTAGAATAGTTATGCCCATGAGAAGTCCTGGTGTTTTGGTCATAGACATACATGTTCTCCTGGATGTATGTTAGCATAATGGAGAAAGGTAGAAAAGAGCCATATAGGCCTGAATATAAATCCAACTCCAAGCCCTCTTACCCTACGTCACATGAAAATGAAGTAATATCATGCCCTCTGTGTCACACACAGTTAGCACAGTGCCTGGCACAGAGATGACTTCTCTCTTCTTTCCTTTGTTATTCAAAGTAAGGACATCTAAGAGTCAGGGAGAAACTGCAATTTTTCTTCACATAACCTTTTTTTTTAAAAAAAAAAAAAAACATACTCTTAGTACTAGCATTTATCAGTAGGCATCCTCTGATTTTTTAAAAATCTGGGTATTCTGAAAACAGAATTTATCAGTAGGCACTTATCAGTAGGTATCCCCTAATTTTAAAAAAGTCTGGGTATTCTGAAAACAGAGTTTGAATCCTACCTGGCTTTATTTTTTGCATAGTCCCATGGAGAGGCAAGGAAGAAAAAATAAATAAATAAATAACAGATGAAAAAGTAATTTCATGAAAGAAAATTAAAAAGGTTATAAAAGAATTACTGTTAGTTAGCCTATGCTTTTCTTTCCTAGTCACTTTGATTTGATTACAGGGTATAATATCAGATGTGAGTAATGTTCTTTCCCCATTAACTTATACGTTAAGAAGCACAAACAAACACATGGCAGGTTTTCTCTGTTCTTTTAGAAATAATGTCCGAGGCCGGGCGCGGTGGCTCAAGCCTGTAATCCCAGCACTTTGGGAGGCCGAGGCGGGTGGATCACAAGGTCAAGAGATCGAGACCATCCTGGTCAACAAGGTGAAACCCCGTCTCTACTAAAAATACAAAAAATTAGCTGGGCATGGTGGCGCGTACCTGTAATCCCAGCTACTCAGGAGGCTGAGGCAGGAGAATTGCCTGAACCCAGGAGACGGAGGTTGCGGTGAGCCGAGATCGCGCCATTGCACTCCAGCCTGGGTAACAAGAGCGAAACTCCATCTCAAAAAAAAAAAAAAAAAAAAAAAAGAAATAATGTCCAACCTTCATACATCCAATGGTATTCCAGTTATTTGTTATAATGGAATTTACCAAATATAACACAAATTACATTTCCCATTATGATCCCCAGGATCATATGAGAAAATAGAGCCTTTCAGCCACAGTAAGTCAATGAGTGCATTCTACCATACCCCAGAAGGAAATGAAATTATGCAAACATTTCTTTCTTCCCCTATGACTTTTTTTTAAACCTTCTTCCCTTGAAGCTATTTTTGCTGGGTTAACTTTTATTTAGATCGTGGTGATGTTGGAAATTAGAAGTAGTATTTCTTCTCATGTTAACATCCTCAGGCTTAAGCATTTATTGTTCTTTCTTTTGTTATAAAGAAGTGTTCCATGAGTCAACTTGTACTTAGATGATTATGATACTGGGGGTCAGAAGAAATTGAAGAAGTTGGAGTATAAGTGACTAGTTGGTGGCAAGACAGGTTTCCCTTCTCCACTTTCCACTCACAATGCGGTAACATTCAGGCATCCTCTTTGTTGTAGGCAGGAGTTCTTACATGAATGGGAACCAAAATGATGAATGCCTTTACACAGAGCTGCTCCTTGCAGAAAATTTGTTATAACCACTCTAACAAATCTCTGCATCTGGCCCCTCATAGAAATATAACAATGGCTTTGTTATGAAAACTGTACATTTAACACAGAATTTGGTTTGAAGGGATCTTACCTATGCCCCATAGATGGAACTGTTCTACCCAGGGAGCACAGAAGTCTTTTCTTAGTGAATTGTGAAAATGGAGGACAGATATTCTATTCTTACTCTTGCTGCCTGGTGAGATGGATCAATAGCATCTGGGCTTTCTGATCTATATGTCAATCTCAAATTCCTATTTAAACAGGGAGAAGAGAGGGCACTGGTTGGGAGGGAGATTGAAGACTGCAGAAATGGCCTCAACCAAGTTAATAACTAGGTTTTCAAGCTGATTAATTTATGCTCTTCCTTTATTGGCAGAATATGTAATGTGCTGATTTTTACCTGAGGCCATGTCTCTCTCGTGGCTGATCACAATTCCTAGGAGATGCATTCACTTTAAATTTACCTTTTCTCATATTTTTCTCTTTTAGGTAGCTATAGATTTCACTGCCTCAAATGGGGACCCCAGGAACAGCTGTTCCTTGCATTACATCCACCCTTACCAACCCAATGAGTATCTGAAAGCCTTGGTAGCTGTGGGGGAGATTTGCCAAGACTATGACAGGTAAGAGACTTCAGGGCATTTGAAGCCTTATCATCTCTCATGGGGGTGAGATGGTCTTTGACTGATCCTGGGCAGAAAATGGAAATTTAGTCAAGTAACTTCTTATGCAGTGGCTTCAAAATCTTCATCCTCTCCATACTAGAAAAACTAAGTTTGTACCTAGCTCGCTTTGGTCACCAAACAAAAACCTTTCTCAGTTTTCTTATCTTAATTGGCTTGCAAGACAATTGGATAGCAATTTTGGTTTCCATTTTGTGAAATCTTAGCATGTGCCTTGCTACTCAAAGTTGTTTGTGAGCTAGTAATATTCTAGACCTACTGAATTGGAATCTGCATTTAACAAGATCCCCAGATGATTTGTGTATACTTTAGAGTTGTAGAAGCACAGGTCTATTAGATGTTACCACATCTAATCTTCACATTAACCCTTATATAGTATGTATTCCTTAGAAGAAGGGAATACTGTACAGGTGGTTAAGTAATTTGTGTGCTATCACATAGCCAGAGACAGGACTTGAACCCAGGTCTACCCACTCCAAAGCTTAAGTCTATAATCACTATGCTTCACTGACCTCAAAAGCTATTGGTAAGTTCAGCAGAGGGTTTGATACATGTGTGTAGCCAGATGAATATGTATGTTTGCATGTGCATGTATAGAAAATGTGATTTAACATCAGATCAATATTCTATATATTTTTACTTGATGATAAAAATAAGAGTATCTTACATAAATTACATTAAACTGAATGTATGCTGCCTTTCCAGTAGTTTTAGAATAAAGTCAAGGAATTTAGTTGTTTTCTTAAGGAAAGCTTTTTGAAGTGAAAAAAGTATAAATATAAATATGTGTAAATCTCAGTTAACTCCCTGATGTAATCGTAAACCAAAGCTAGTTAGTAATGAGCAGCGATAAATTGACCTTTCAGAAGAGGAAAATAAAGAAAGCAACTGTGTCCTTTAGGCTTCAGATGAATTTTGTAAGATAGCATGATTTCTGTTCCTTCTCATGTCATAATTGGTGATAATCATATTAAAAACTTGTTATCCTCCATATCATAAGAAATGACACATTCTCATGACTAGAATGTACAGAGAAACTAATAGAACAGGGTAATGGGAAAGGTGCAGTCAGTCTCCTGCCTGCCTGTGTCTCTAGATTAAGCTTGGTCATCAGCAGTAACTCAAATGTAGCACAAAGGCAGTTGGAGAATGAACATGTCCAGTAAAATCAAAGAGCTTTAAACACTTAGGCCCTTGCTGACACTTCCTCTCCTGTACATCTAGGAAAGATGTCAATTATTATTTTAACTTATGTTGTTGGAAAAACACCTCTTATATACTTAATCTTGAGGTATTGACTGTGGAAAACTCCCTTGAGTTAACTTGAGATAATTTGAATTTCAACACTGATTTCTTCAAGCCCCAGTGCAGGCGGTGTGGTGGTGGTGGGGATCCTAGAGAGGTTTGTGTCATATGAGTATTTCCACCAGGGAGAGAAAAGACAGGCCAGTTGTATCCACTACATTGGAAACTTCTCCAAACTTCCCCAAGACGCAAAACCAATAATTTTCTTCCTTCTTTCTATCATATACACATTAATAATCTAGTATAATAATGTGTGAATATGCTGAGAGGCAAGAAGCAGGAGAGTATCTTCGGGATTCGTAACTTTTCAATCTCGAAATGCTTGCAAAGAAAAAGTAGGTAAATGCACTTAACACATATCTCAAACAGTAGATGCTTAATTTAAAAGTTAACTCTGAATCTGCAGGGAAGAAGGCAGTCTAATAAAGTACAAAGAGAAGACTGATGGGTTTTCTAGAAATTAAGATACTAAGCCTCAGAGCCCTTATTGTAGCAGATTTAGTGGATGATCGCAAAGAAGCTGCTGAACATCTCCATTTCCTGATTGCCTCACATGCAAAATGCAGACTATAGTCAGAGTGACATGTATATCTTGTAAAGCGTTTATCCCTCTGTGAGCCAGACAAAGTCTGGGGAGCATTTTTTGATCCCTCAAAAATGCATATTCAATATATAAATAAAATATGAAACCTTAGGATTTACATGAAGAATCATCATAAATTATTGTTTAAAATCTTTTAATAGAGTAAGATTGACGTTATCATCCCCAACTGGCCAAGAAAATATAGTTTCTACAGCTCAATGGAACAATTATTTTTTCCATATATAGAAAGCAGCTCAACATTAAAATGGGCAAATACTTAAGGAAGAAAAAGGAGGATTGAAAAACTCCAGTGCTCCTTTAAAGGAATTCTCTAGAAGAATGTGTATTGCAAGCTGCTCGCTTGAAAACTGACAAGGTTCCGCTGTTTCTCCTTTGTGTGGGTGGATAGACAATAGACAGGCAGAGTCAGGAAATTTCAAGTCGGGGCTCTGGAATTAATTTATTCTCACATCAAAGTCAGTGAGGTTGGTGCTCAAAGAGAAACACTTGAATAAAAACTGACAGAAGGCATTGTTCCCCCTCCTGCAGTGACACAGAGGTTTCTAATCCCCATGAGCCTTAGAAATTCCTCCCAGCCTCTAGCAGCCAAGAGTTTTCTTTCTGCCTTGTACAGTCGTTGCTACCAGGTCATTATGAGGTGATCCATGAAGTAGAACAGCTTGGGTGATGGATAAAACTCTTCTCAGAATGGCCTTGAAGAGAAGTTTCCCACAGACAGCTGGTCCTCAGGCCTGCCTGCCTGTTCTATCCTTCAGCCTCTGAAAGAGATGATACTGCGCATTCCCTCTGCTGTGACCACCCACCCCAGCATAACTATTTGTGCACACACACAAAAACATGCATGCGTGTGCATACACACACAGAGGCCCTCACAAGCTCAAGTTGTAGCACTTCTCTAGCTTCTGTATCCTGGTCTCCCTAGACAGCTCACGGCCAAGGTGACAACTTTTCGTCAGGACCAGCAGGGATATGGGTGTCTGAAAACCTGACATGTTCTCTAATAAAAAGCATGGCCTATCTGCTGTCGAGACCGTACAGAAACTGACCATGTACATTTCGTGGAAATACAGATTGCCATTTTATAGACGTGTCTACCCCAGAATGAGACAGATATCAGAAACCAAAGCATGGTTTCTCCATGGTGTGGTGGTTATGGTACAAGGAGACAGTTAGAACTGACACCCATTCTGACAGGTATTTTCAAGTGTAGAGCACTTGTTTAGTGATGAGAAGGCAGTTCAAATCACAGTGCTACTTTTTCCACTCTGTTATCAGTCAGTGGTTCTCAGCCTTGGCCACACATTGAAGCCATTTGAAGAGCTTTAAAATGTGGTGATGCCTGAACGCCACCCCAGAATCTCTGATTAAATTGTTGGTGTGCATCCTGGAAATTAGAATTTTTTGTCCAGCTAGGTGTCCAGGGTTGAGACCCAGTGTTAAATTGTGAGAGATGGGTCAGATGCAATGGCTAAGGTCCAATGCCGCATCTACTTAAGCACCAAACACCTCATGGGGAGCTGTAAAGACAGAATATTTAATGAAGCACAGTTTTTCCCCAAGTAGCCCACAATCTCACTGGGGAGAAACTTGTGTAAATTACAGCCCAGCATGGCCAGGGAAGTGTTACCCTGTATAGGGATGGGAACTGTATAAAAGAGGGAAGGGCTAACTCTATCCTATGTGGGAAGAGGGGTGGTCAAGGAGGGAGTTCTGGGGATGATAATTTCTGGGCTGATCAGAATTTGGCCTTCAGCTTTGTTGTTATTAGAATGTGGATGGATTTATTCTCCTTATTCTGAATAATTATACCAGACAAGCCTTCTATGAGGACAGAGTCAATGGGGATGATAGGGCATGGGGAACTGGTGATGGGTAGACCTAGGTTCACACCCCAGCTCTGCTACCTCTGTTGTCATAGATTTACATTCCATGGACTTTGGTTTTCTTTATTGTAAATTGAAGATGTATCTCACTTCCCTTGCAGAGCAGTTATAAGGATTAGATATAAAGCAGCTAGTTAACACAAGTTCCACCTCTTATAAATACTGAATAAATGACAGGGGCTATAATCTTTAATACCCTAGATTTACATTTTAAAAATGATCTGAACACAAAGGGAGACAAAACTATAGAGTCAGTTCTAAAATTCACTTTGGACCAATGATCTTTAAAATATTTTTGCTCATATACTTTTAAAAAGAATTTTATAAAAATGTATAGCTGTCACATTTTTCACTGAAATCTAACATTTTTCATCATGAGTTTAGTGACAAAGAATGAAAATTCTAGTGTATTGTAAATTTGGACATTTAATAACAAAACTCTTACATAACTCTTGTGACTGTGTCAAGTAGAATCTTAATGCTGTAACTCTTTGATAACCACCATCATCCATTTTGTAAAAAATGAGCAAGCTCTTCAGTGTGAGTTGAGAATTGTAATTGTTCCTTCCTTTTCACCAACTTGTATTTCCCTTCTCTTCCCCTAAGAATTTTATCCTAATGTATCTTAATATATTTGGTTTGACATTGTTATGATCACTGTATATTTCTGTAATCAAAATTTAAATTTAAAATTTTTTAGTTTCTAAAAATTTCTAAGATGAAAAAATTTAAAGTATTTAAAAAATATCTGGGTTTTATTACAATTATTACTAGTGCATAATTGGTCAAAAGAACATAAACATACTAGACATTTCAGTATAATTTTTTTCTATAAATACCTATCAGAAATCAGCTCTTACTGAAACAGATAATGGGGCATTTTTCCAATTAGTATATAGAGCTTTGGATGAGTGCTACCCAGTGCTAGAATGGGAGAGTCGAGCATCAATTCTAACTCAATTTTTTGCTCTTAGCAATGTAAATTCTAAGAAAACATGTTCTTATAAATAAATATATGAAAATAAATAATTTGACCAACAGTATTACTCAATTCTTTCAAGTTATATACCAAAAAAATTACATAATGGCCAGTCATCAAAATGTTTTCTTCAATGATCTACCAGCTGACATCAGCACTTGCCAAAATTTATTTAAAGCAAAGCTTGGCAACTACCTGACTTGCAAAAGGATGTTTTTTCCTAGTGAAACATTCATGTTTAGAATTATTCTTGTCTCTGTTGCTACAGAGTTTTTACACTCTGGAGCAATGGACTATGATGGTTAAGATTCAGAATAGGTAAAAAAGAAGGATAAGTGAAAGGAAAGGTATGAATGGAGAATAGGTCTCTCCATCACAGGCGTTCCCAGAAGATCAGTTTCAGCAAAAAATACCTATGGATGAGGAGGAACTGAATACTGATTTCCCTTTAAAAAAAAAAAAAAAAAGCCATGTTCTTATATCCCCAGAAGTGCTTTGCATTTCCAGGTAGCTCAGTTTTAAGGCCTTTGCTTTAGAGAACAGTTTTCATTAAATGTCTGAGTGCTCTGAAATGCCATACTGCTCTGAATTTCATTTCTTTATGGATACAGTAAGTTTTCTTTATGTTTATTAATGTTTTGATTAATCTTAAAATCTTCCTGAACAGAAAGGGGAAAATAGTGGTTAAAAATTACTCTTCCCTCTGGAGGTCCTTTGACAATAGTCATTCCCTAAAAAGGTCAGGACAGCTTATTCATTACCACTGAAGAAATTGGGCTTTTTTATTGTATATTATACTATTTTATTCTGTTTATAAGAAATATTGCCTTTACCCATGTGGTAATAGACCCCTGAATTTTCCAGATTGTGCATCTTTGTCAATCATTTTCGCATCAGTTGCTAAATGGCCCTTTGCTGGGTGCTGAGCGGATCCAATCTTGAGTTCTTAAAGTGTTAGGATACAGATGCTTTTGTTTGTGCTCAACTTGCCTTCTTTTACTTGTTGTATAAGAAGACTCTTCTCTGACTAGTTTTATTTTAAAACAGAAATAATGGATGTTTAAATCCATTGTGCTTAGGCTTAAAGCTTTTTCTTTAGAATGTTTATTAGTTAGAGGCTTTCTGGTGGCTAAGTTCAGAGAATTTATCCCTCCTGGCTCATTAATCATTCCCCTTGTAGGTGAGGCGTTTTCCCTACCTTCCTACTCTTGAAACTCAATTACATAACAGTGCATCATGCTCAGCAAACTTTGAATCCCCAAAGGTGGCTTAGAAAGCATAAAAGGAATATCATTAATGCTACAACACCATAGGGATTAGAAATGGGTGGATATTAGAGCTTGCCCCTCCTAAACTCATCAAAAAAAAAAAAATGAAAGAAGAAAGAAAGAAAAGAAAAGAATAGATGTTGAGACTCCCAGTTTCTCTATTTTGACTTGTGAGTCATCTTCGAGTGCGAAGGACCATGATCCATCCTCCACCCAGGAAAGCCTCATTTCAGCTTTAACTAGAAAGTACCCCAAATCCCCCTCACAGATCTCTTCTCACACCCACCCATGCTTGTTTTGTTTAAGGAGGAATTGCTGAGGCAAAGTATTTCAGTATGTCCGAGGACCAGAAGTATATTTTCTCCTATCTGTAGCTAATCCTTCATAAGCTGTGTTGAGTCTCTATTTACCCGCATCAATACCTTCTCTAATACCTGCTAGATGCAATGCACCACAAAGCCTGAATTGACCCAACAGTGAGGAGAAACTGGAGTTGGTGATTTTTCTGGAGAATTTACACTTTGATTTCAAAGAATTCTGCCTTCTTTTTTTTCTCCCAACCCCAACCCCAAATTTGATACTGTTGACTATGTTTTGGTAAAGTTTTGTCGAAACCATCATTGGCTAGTTATGACCTCTAAATCAGTTAGGTGGTAATAAAGGAGAATCTGGTTTTGCTACTTTGACTTCTTTGTCAGCCTGTGGATTGGTGGGGCTCATCCCCTTTTGCTTACAGACGTGTAGAACAGTGAGCCTTAACCTGAATTGACTGAATATACCAAGAACAGAGAAATGTAGAAAATGTAGAACAAATCTCAGTTATGTTCTTACTGGGAGAAGAAATGAAAGGTAGATAACATGAGAAGGACATACCTTTGCCAAGAGCCCTGTGGTAATAGCCTCCTGACAGCACAGTATTTGATTAAAGAGGGTCTTATTTGTTGTCTAGTCAGGGGGCCAGATTACTGGAAGTACCAGTAGGAAATCACGTTTAATACTGTACAAAATCATTAAATTATAATGGCATAACAGAAAAGGCATGGGCTTTGAAATCACATAATTTCCCTTGGTAATCACCACAGGCCACTTAGCCTTTCTGAGGTTTTATTTACCTGTAAAATGGGAATAATAAGTAGGTGAAGCTTCCAGGATTGTATTAGAATTTAATAAGTATGTACATCATTTAGCAGGGGCCTTGTACATTGTATGCACCAATAAATGTTAATTATTCTCTTCCCCATTCTATCAACTATAGTACAATAAAGTTAGAGTTAAGATCCAATATATGTGAATGAATAATTAGGAGAGAAACTCCAATGTGCATAAGATAGCTCAAACCAAAAAATATGTAAGTGACTCTCTTGGGTTTTCAAGAAAATCCTCCCTTCTTTTCATAGAATGTGGCTACATTTTCATAATTAAAATTCATGGATTATGTATTCATTAACCATTTATTCAGCACACATTCTATGACAAGTACTATAATAAAGGATAGGGCAGGGGGCAGTTGAGACAGAGGAAAGTGGAGATATAAAGATTTTAATACAAAAGACAGGGTCTCTGAGTTCAAAAAACAAGACATGTAAACAGCTTATCACTGCATGTGATAAAGTGGTGGGCACAATGAGTCATGTAAAGGGAACCAAGCTCTGTCAAATTAGCCAATCTTACAAGCTTTCTGCTGCTTTATTTTTGTTTTTGTTTAGAGATGGAATCTTGCTCTGTTGCACAGGCTGGAGTGCAGTGGCGCCATCATGGCCCACTGCAACCTCTGTCTTCGGGTTCAAGCAATTCTTATGCCTCAGCCTCCCAAGTAGCTGAGATTACAGGAATGTACCACCATGCCTGGCTAATTGTTGTATTTTTATTAGAGATGGTATTTCTCTATGTTGGCTGCGCTGGTCTTTAACTCCTGGCTTCAAGTGATCTACCCGCCTCAGCCTCCTAAATCCCTTCTGGGATTACAGGCGTAAGCCACTGCACCTGGCCCCATTGCTTTTTAATATCCACTTAGATTCAGTCTTGTCTGTATTTGAACTCTAGCTCTAATTAGGAACATGATCTTAGGCAAGTCACTTTACCTTTCAAGGCATTTCCTCACCTGTAGAAGGGGAATAACAATCTCTCCCTGTAAGTATTTTAAAAGATAATACATACAAAATGTTCTAACACAGTCACCTAGTTACCTAGTTCATGGTCCCTTTTCAAAAAAAAAAAAAACTGAAAGTTGGAGTGGGGGCCATTGGTGAAACTGTAGGGCCAGTTTCTTTCTTAGTATAGAATCTAGCAAAAAAATTAAGGAAGAAGTTGTAGACTAATAACTGTGATGAACTTAGGGGGTTATTTCTTGATTGCAATTATCCATGCTATTGCTACCCCTCATCACCACAGATAATCAAGAAGCATGAGTCAGCACTGGCATAGCAACATGGCGTAGCAAGGTAACGCAGGTTCATGTTTTTCTTCCTCATTAAATGAATAAATGAAGCAACTTCTTCTTTTTTCTTTTTTTCATTTTGGTTTCAGTGACAAAATGTTCCCTGCCTTTGGGTTTGGTGCCAGGATACCTCCAGAGTACACAGTGAGTGAGCAAAGATGAGATCTTCTTTCACTTTGCTTTGTTCGAAGGATAACTTGGGTTTTCTTTGCAGCAGTCTCACTCTCTTGGCTCTATCATAACCATGTCAGTAGGGCCAAAAGAGTCAGAAATGACTTTGGACTCAGTGAGATTAACTCCCCAGAACCTGTCTCTTGATGAAACGCTATCTCCTGGTATTTTGGATGGGTCTTCTCAGAGGTCCAGATGAAGAATTTGATTGTTTAGTTTCTTATAAATGTGATCACAGTCTGAGAAAACACTCAGGAAGTTGATCTCCAGGGGCTCGGAATCTATCCATTCATATATCCCCTGGGAAACAGAATTCTATTGGCAATGCCAACTGGGAAAGTCCATGACAGTGGAGTCTACAAAATTCCTTATCCCAAGTCTTCTAGTCCAAATCTTGTATGGGAGACACAGAAAAGTTGTGAAGAAAGAACTATTATGACTTAGAGAATTGGGAAGTTGAAATGTTCTTATGATGACATTGGAATTCTATTTGTTTTTGATAATGATTTCTCATGACAGAAAAAAGGCAAAGATTGTGTGTAGATAAATTTGCACTGTGATGAGGCTGAGACACTACTGTGATATTCTAGACGCTCCTATAGGACATTCTCCACAGAGAACTCATGCTCACTAGGTGGGGAGGGCCTTGGAGAAACAGCAGGGTACCTGCCCAGCCTCCACCTTACCAGTGCCTCTGAGGTCTGAGCTAAGTGGAAACAACATCTCCCAATCCTGAATTTCTCTTTTACTAGCTGTGTCTGAGCCACAGGTCAGGAGGTAGATGCTGACATTTGCTCCCTCACTAGAGCCATCACATAAGGGCTTTCCCCTTATGTGTCCTTTTTGAAAGAGGAAATCAATCTCCCTGTCGCTCCTAGAGTGAACAGTGGTTGGAATGGCATGTCTCCAAGACCTGTTCTCTTTCTTTTTTGCCTTGTATTCCACACTGGCCTTCCTGCTGGGCATAGCTACATAATTCTAGAAGCATTTATTGGAAACAGAGCTCGTGGGGAGAAAGAATATAGAACAAGAGCTATCGACTGGTGGCCTTTAGACATTACTCAGGCCACAAATGTGTAATATTTGACACACTTTTAAAAGACCAATTCAGCAATTTTATACGAAATGTCAGATTTCTGGCTTCTCTTGAAAACCTAAAAGGCCTGGCAACACTAAGATTAAAAGATAATCTATACATGAATAAGCTGGAGCTGAGGAGATATAGATCCCTTCAAATCTGGAATGTAAACAGGTGAGTGTCCGCGTTCTTATAGCTGCTGACTACCCAGGGATTCTTGAGTTTTCATCACATCCCCACCAGGTGGTCTCCCAGCCTCAGGTTGGCCCAACGGGGCTGAGGGTAGAGCTGTGCAGCATACCTTTTTCTCATTAACAGCATCTTCCTGGTTCCCTTCCTGGAGTAACTCTGGCTGTTTCCTGAAGTCCTCTTGCTCACTTGATCCCCTAACTCCATCCTTCCTGTCAGCAAAATCCTCTGGTTCTTCCTGTTTCAATAAGCTTCTCTCATATTTCCCTATTTCTGGTCCCCAAATATATTTAAATACCCCTTTTCCATGCCTAATTTTCCCCTTTCCTCGACAAGCACTGATGATTTGTGCAGCTCAGGTGTCCCCGGAGAGTTTACAAGGTTGCCATAATTTACTTCTTAGGACAAAATCTCAGCATATGCATTGAAGTTGAAACACAAGCACCTCTGTCTTAGTTTGTACTTTCTCAAAAAAAGATCTTGAGATAAGGATTTGAATGTAAGTAGTTTATTTGAAAGGTGGAGGAAACCTCAATAGAGGTTGGCAAATGGAAGTCAGCATAGAGTATATCATCATGTCAGTTACCGCTGTTGGCAACTAGTGCTTAACTCTGCTGAAGAACCCTAGGAGACAATGTACAGCACAGACCGCAAGGGATAAGGGAGCTGGGGTATGTATACATCATCTCCTATTAATTGCTGATTACTCTCGAGGGTCGCTTTTAGCTTGTCACTTGGGCAAGCAAGGCAGTCCCTTAAAACCAGAAAAAAACTTAAGATAAACAAAGCAAATAATATGAGTAGAAGTCAACTGGCTTACCTGGAACTGCTAAGAGAAAGGAAAGGCAAGATAAGCGCCAAGAGATTCACTAATCACCTCCCACAAAGAAAGGAGATGTCTTTTAACATAGGGACCTATTTTATAGATAGCCAAAAGAGTCAGAGCTTGGAAATGTCCTTTGAAATGGAATTCTCCATAAAATACCAAATGATTCAATAAAAATGTCCAGATGCTAGAACATCCATCTTGTTTTATCAGGTTTTTGGAAAGAAAAAGGTAAACAATATGTTATTTGACCTGGTGCATAGGTTCTGCCAGGTAGAGGAATTTGTATTGGAAGATTACAAGGTACATTATTTTATTATGTTTCCAAAAGTAGAATGCAGTCTGTTTTACCTGTACATGTGTGAAAATGCTACTGCACTGTAGTTCTGCATATCATGTTAATAATCCTTAAGTGTCAACTGCTTAGCTGAAGCCTTCATAACCATTGCCATGTTGAGCAGGCAACTTGAGTTACTGAGTTTTTGTTTTTGTTTTGTTGTTGTTGTTTTTGTTTTTAATCACTGGATCCACATAGACCTCAGCCAAATCTAAGCCTCCAGTCTGTGGCCAGTTCTATCTAGCAGTTATTTGAAGTTATCTTTCTGAAATCTTTTCTTGGAGTTTTTATAAGCCTGACTCTCCCCTTCTGACAGCATTTATCTGATTCTAGAAAATCTTCCTGTCACCTCAACTCCACAGGGAGCTTAGAATTCACCCTCCATCTCAGATTGATTGTGTAAAGGCTTGAAATGGTTCCTACTGCTTAAGACATCATGAATGTAATGGGCCTTTGTTTGCAAACTCTAAACCGCAGTGCCTTCTTACTGGATTAAAGTTGTAATTCTCCTTTCTTCCTGTTTTTTAAACTTTAATTGGTGTCTAGGTCTCTCATGACTTTGCAATCAACTTTAATGAAGACAACCCAGAATGTGCAGGTAAAGCACAACATGGGAAAAAGCCAGTATCCCAGTCCTTCCCTTCGCACCTTTCCCATTGTAGTTTCTCTCCACTGGTGTCTCATGTTAGTTACAATTGTCTGCAGCAGAGAAGCAGGCTTTCTGGATCCACATAAACCATGCTACTCCAAAAGCAAGAGAGAGCCATGATAACACAACAGAGAAGGAAAATAAGAACTGGAAAGGACAGAACGCAGAAGAGGTCTTGAGTTGACAGCAGTAACATTGATCCCAATCCAGGGATAATAATAATAATAAAGGAAAGTTCACTGGTAGGCAGTGATACAATATCCTTCTTTCTGTTTTCAAATTTTCATCAAGTGTTTATTTTTTACACCTTCATCTCTGAGCAGGTATAAGGAGGGGGGTAAACATGGAAATCATTTCCCACTTTCAGCATACTGGCCAAGGACGTGGCCTCAGTGAGTTTGAACAAGTAGCATTGCGGCTTTGTGCCAGTGAAAGCCTGCTCAAAAGCTCTGGTTCACATTCCATTGTTTCCAGCCACAATTCTCCAATGTGTTTTCACAAAATAATGATGCTGCAACTGTGGTGATATTTATTACATTAAATTTTGTTCTAGAATGATTATTTCTGTTTTCTAAGTAACAGAGCCAAATACATACGTTACAATGAAGATCATAAGACATTTTTGCACTAGAAATATCCCTATCTCTCTCTTTCTTCTTGTCAAGGAGGAAGGAGGCTAAATCAGATCCAGCAGAGTGTATAAGGCATCTAGCAGTTAATGGCCAAGAATATGATATCAATACCACTGAGTCTGAACATAGTAACCTCCAAGACCCAATCTCCATTCTGCCATTTTTTCCACTAATGTATTCTCCATCCTCAATTTATTATGGTTTAGAATTTCCTCATGTCCAATTGCCCCCATTCTAAAACCATAAGAGTGGTTTCCTCTGCGGCAGAATGAAATATAGACCCTGGTATTTGCTTATTTCATACTTTTAGAATTCATCTGTCTGATATTTCTGAGGAAATCAAACTTGCTTATCATAGGCAAAAACTTAAGAACCAAAAAAAAGATAAGGAGCTTCTATTCAGCATTATTTAACTTCAGAACCAGACTGCAAAATGACTTGGCATCTGTCTTTAGAATAATAGGTTTTGGGGCAAGGCCAAGTGGGTGCAGGATTGTCAATGAGATTGGAAGCATGTATATGAGAGCAGAATAGAAAAGAACTTGCTCATCCAAAATACCCAAGAGCAATTTTGCAGTGCATGGCGGTTATGGAGAACAATCTCAGAAGGGGATTGTGTGGATCCCTCTGGCCAAAAACAGGACTACCATGCTGTTTCAGAATAGAAAAGGATAAAAGGATGAGCTGAAGTCTGGACACAGTGGCTCATGCCTGTAATCCCAGCACTTTGGGAGTCCGAGGTAGGTAGATTATAAGGTCAAGAGACTGAGAATATCCTGGCCAACATGGTGAAACCCCATCTCTACTAAAAATACAAAAATTAGCTAGGCATGGTGGTATGCACCTGTAGTCCCAGCTACTTGGGAGGCTGAGGCAGGAGAATCACTTGAACCCAGCGGGAGGAGGTTGCAGTGAGTCAAGATGACACTATTGTACTCTAGCCAGGCAACTGAGCCACACTCCGTCTCAAAAAAAAAAAAAAAAAAAAAAAAAAGAATGAGCTGAAATAGGGGAAGACAAAAGATAACACAGGGATAGACAAGAGGAGCCATCTGAATAAAAATCATTTGTAATGAGATTATTACTGTGGGATCAGAATGGTAACATGAAATGTGCAGTCAAGACGTATCAAGTGCTGTAATAAGCTACACAGATAGAACTGCCTCTCCTTGCAGAGTCCCATCCTTTTCTATTTCCTGGGCTCATATGGCCTCAAAATGGAAGCCCGCCTTTAAAGGAGGGGTTGTCCCTGATGATAACCATCATTCATCTGTACTCAGCTCCCAGGAGATACGTATATCAGCCACTTTGCTAATTTATCACACACTTGGTGAGCATCACCATGTGCTAGATAGTGCCTCAAGCTCTTTGGGGAAATACAAAGAAATAAGTAAGTCATGATTCCTGCCCACAAAGAATATAACGTCTGGAGAGATGGTCATGGGAACTCCTGACTGTTATAGGGGACACAGGTAGTATCTACTAGAGTCAACAAGATGGTGTGGGAAAAGTGCAGCATTGAAGCTGGCTTGCTAGTGGCTAAGAACATAGTACTTAGAGCCAGGCAGACCCAAGTTTAAATCCCGAGTCTTAAATACACTTGCTGTGTGACCCAGGGCAGATCATTTAACAGATCTAAGCCTCTGTTTTTTCACTTATAAAATGGGTATAACATCTATTTCATTATGCTATGAGGATTGAATGAAATCTTATGTATAACGCGGGATATTAGGAAACGTTTTGTGGAAATGATTGCATTTCACTTCAGCTTTTAAAGAAGAGAATGATTTGAGTGGGGAAGGAGGCAGCAACACTAGCGATGTAGTATTCCTATTTATCTTAAGAATATAAATGTGAGTTGATGAGGACTATTTGGGAAAGGTAATGCTTTACCTTTGTGTGTGTGTGTGTGTGTGTGGCTACAAATGTATTTGGAGGGACTCTGGAACTGTTGATCTTTGCCAATTTCACCTCAGGAATTCAAGGAGTTGTGGAAGCCTATCAGAGCTGTCTTCCTAAGCTCCAACTCTACGGTCCCACCAACATAGCCCCCATTATCCAGAAGGTTGCCAAGTCAGCGTCAGAGGAAACTAACACCAAGGAGGCATCGGTAAGGAGGGGGCTATTTGCCTCCTAAAGGGAGCTTTCTCTTCCTCATCTGGATATTGGCCAACACACCCATCTCACTCTGACAATAAATTCCAACGTTTCTACCTGTGTGAATTTGGACAAGTGACTTAACCTCCCCCTAGTCTCAGTCTTGCCATCTAAAACATGGGGACAATCAAACCCATCTTTGCTGGGTTGTGAGGCTGAGAGAGGATGCATGTCAAATGTCTACCACGTTGTCTGAACACAAAAGAGACTAAACAATGGAAGCTACTATATTCACTAAAGTATGTCATACCCACCTCCTGTCCTTGGAAAGAAAAAAAAAGTTTTAAAAATAAGCTTGTTTTTCAAGGTACCCATACTACAGATGGAAGCAAAGCAACAAGGAAGTAAAACAATGGATGCTTCTGCCTCCTGGTGGTAAAGCACAGCAGCACAAAACATCACAGCAAAAATTTGTTTCACATTCTATTGGTTTTCTTAAGAAAAATGCAAACCAAGACCAGAGTTTGAGTTTTGCCCCTAATCTTCTAGAAGTAAATATATTACCATAATGACTTCTGTATTTATTTTAATAACATTAATGCATGTCTTTTTAGCTTTATGATTTTTTTCAGATTTAGTAGAATATTACCAAGGTCTGAAGTTTGCTCTGTAATTTTATCCTGAGTACTGAGTTTTTATTTAAAAAACACTACTCCCTTATATTCTGACATCAATTTACCTAACCTCTTGCACTGTATGCATGTTCTCAGCCTTTCTTCATGTTAGAATAGATGGAGGACCGGGCTGCTACCTCATGTCACCATCTTCTTTTGTGTACTTGAGCACATCTCTTGAATTATCCAGGAACTTCGATTCTTCAGTTATATTCTTGCTCTTTCTCCTATCATCTGTTGTTTTCCTTTTATGACCCTTTGTACTGAAGTATCATTCCCATTATACTCATTCTATAATATCTCCAGTTTTAAGTTAAAATCTCCCCCTTGACTCTGCATTACCCTTTAGCTACTGTCCTTAACTTTTTTCCACTTATAATCTGCACTCCAGGCAGAAACCAGATTGGTCTTTTAAAAATGTAATTAATATGGCATCATTCCTTTGTTCTAAATCCTCCAATACTTCTTATCATACTTGGAGTAAAAGCTAAATTCCCTGATGTAGCTTAGAAGACACTATAGGATCTAATCTTTGCCGACCTCTCTGATCTTAATTCTTATCAGTTTCTCTTTTGCTCCCTAGATTTCAGCCACACTGACCTCCTTGCTGTTGCACAAAGGCACCAAATATATTCCCACTTCCAGGCCTTTTCACTTACTGTTCCCCTGCCAGGGTTTCTCTCACCCAAACCTCCATGTGATCCATTCTCTGACTGTGTTAACATCTCTACTCAACTCTCAGCTCCTCTGAAAGTTCCCCCTGGTTACCTTATCTAAAGTTCCCCCTGGTCACCTTATCTAAAATAGCCAACCCACCCACCCACGCCATGTCTCAGCTTTACTTTCTTCTTAGTAGTTATCATCATCTGAAATACTTTAGGTGCATCTACTAACTTTATGTCTCTCTACTTTTTTTTTTTTTTTTTTTGAGATAGAGTCTTGCTCTGTCACCCAGGCTGGAGTGCAGTGGGGCAATCTTGGCTCGCTGCAACCTCTGCCTCCCAGGTTCAAGTGATTCTTCTGCCTCAGCCTCCCGAGTAACTGGGATTACAGACACACACCACCACACCCAACTAATTTTTGCATTTTTAATAGAGACGGAGTTTCACCACGTCAGCCAGGCTAGTCTCAAACTCCTGGCCTCGTGATCTGCCCACCTCAGCCTCCCAAAGTTCTGGGATTACAGGCATGAGCCACTGCATCCAGCCATGTCTCTCTGCTTTTATATGGAAACTTTACAATAAGAAGACTTGTTCACTAGTATATCCCTAACACACGAAACAGTGCCTGCACATAGTGCACACTCAATAAATACTTATTTAAAAAGTGTATATGAAACCACTCTATTTTTCATATGTATATGATGAAAAGTACTTTAAATTTTCTTTTTTAAAATTGGTGTATATCTTAAATATTGCACATCTTATACACCAGAAAATGAAGTATTCCTGTTTTAATTATAATTTGAAGTCTCTTCTACTTGAAAAGATCAGAATTCCCAAGGTCTCTAGAGAGAAGGACAGTCACTGCATGCCTTTGGTTCAGTCCACTGGCCCTTCCCTGCATTTCATTATCATCTTCAGCTCCTCTGGGCTTGATTCTGGTATATTCTATACTCATTCCCTCTATCCCCATACCACCAATGTTGCCTCTTTCTGCCTCTTCTCTCTGCACCTTCCTACCTCCTTCGTCACTTCATCCTACTGAGATCCTTCTCTAAACTCTCAAGCCAACTTCCTTGGGAACATATAAAACTCAGAAAGTATAGACATCAATGGAAATATACAACTTGAATGAATCTGCAAACCAAACTGGGGATTCAGCTAGGACTAGGGGTGAGTGGTTAGTTAATGGACATGGAACAGAATTGGCCTTTACATTAGACTGTATGAAAAGCATTCAGAACATGTGGCTATCTTCATAATAGTATGAAGTTCACCTGTCTCTAGCTCACATTTTTTTGGTTTAAAACATTTTTTCAGGCTCATGGAAAAAAAAAAAAAAGACAATGAGTGAGACTCTTTAGCACTACACAACTATTTGCAACCTTAAGTATATGATTCTCAAAACCAGATGTTTTCAAAATGTCACTCTTCTATCCAGTCTTTCTCCTTTGAAATATGGCAACTTGGAATGGCTTAATCTCACACTTACTCCCTATCAATGTTGGGCATCTTGCAGGATTATATTGAAAGTTCTTTTCTGTTTAGGCTGAGCTACATCTGACTAATCTGCTTCTCTCTCCTCTTACCAGTAAAGGCCACCATGGTACCTCTCATGTTGACTAACAACAGTGATGACCTCCAATGGGTCATCATTCTCCAGACCCCAAAGTACATCCCAAGGCTTCCCTGTGCTGCTGAGTGTAGCACCTTTCCTCCAATTCCCATCTCAGCTGGGTCATCTTCCAGCTTTCCAGATGCAAAGGGGCCAGGCAGCCTGCAGGCCAGAAGTCAGGACTTAAAGCAGGAAGCCACAGGAGCACTGCAAGCTTCTGCAAGAATGCCTGGAGAAGGGCTGCCACTTTCGTGGCACATGGTCTTCAGAGGGAGAGACTGCACCCTGACCGTCTTATAGCAGGACTTTAGACTAGTGCCATCCAGTGGAAATGTAACACCAGTTATGTACACAAGTTTAAATTCTTCAGTAACTGCATTTTAAAAAGTAAAAAGAAACAGAGAAAGCCATTTTAATTATATATTTTATTTAACCCAATATAAGCAAAATATTGCCATTTTAGCATGTACTCCATATAAAAATTATTAATGAAATAATTTGCATTCTATTTTGTGGGCTAAGTCTTCAAAATCCATATGTATTTTATATTTACAGCGTCTCAACTTAGATGCTAAGTTTTCATCATAAATACTTGATCTTTGTTTAGATTTCATAGATAGTTGAAAAAGTAGATTCATGTACTTAAGTTGTTCCAAACATACTTAAAATGTTTCTAATAACTGAATTGGTTATCCATTTCTAACGTTAAATTTAAATGCATTGCAATTAAATAAAATGTAAAATTGAGTTCCTCACTTGCTCCAGCCACATTTCCAAGGGCTGAGTAGTCTCATGGGACTAGCCGTCATTGTATTGGATGTACAGCTTTAGATTTTTAAATATCTTCAAGCAAAGGGAATCATCTTAATCGTTGAGTCCCACCCCCATTTGAGAAATAAAGAAGCTGAGACACAGAGGAGTTAAGGGGTTGTCCCAGGTTCTCACAGAATGAAGCTCTGAAGCCAGTCCTCCTAACTCTTGGTCTGCTGCTCTTTCTTTGTAACTGTCAGTCAGGTACTTATTATAATTAAATTATAATTACTGTGCCTACCTTTAAGCTCCATTCACCAAAAACCTAAGCCTTTAGGACTATCAGCACAGAAGCTCAAAAAATGTCTGTCTGCACTGTTGCTTTGCTCAGTGGGCAGTGAAGCTACCTGGGTGTCTAACTGGCATTGTATTGTCCCTTGTCTCTCTCACCTCTTCATCTCCTGTCGTCACTGGGCATGTGACTGCAGCAATACTTCATCCTGCTGATCCTGACAGACGGCGTCATCACAGACATGGCCGATACCCGTGAGGCCATTGTCCACGCCTCCCACCTCCCCATGTCAGTCATAATCGTGGGAGTCGGAAACGCTGACTTCAGTGACATGCAGATGCTGGATGGCGATGATGGGATTCTGAGGTCACCCAAGGGAGAACCTGTTCTTCGAGACATCGTCCAGTTCGTGCCCTTCAGGAACTTCAAACACGTATGCATATACATACTGGGGCACTTTCCATGGAAGAGCAGAACCAAAGCATGCTCACCTTCCACATTTGTCCACCAATGTTTATGGTGATCTATCTATTCTTAAAGCAACACCAGCTATGTTCTACATAGCCCTGCTGTGGGAGATAGCCTGGCTTAGCTATCCCTTCCTGGGCCATGTCATCTCCCACAACAAGGATATGTAGAGCATGACTCTTTGAAGAAAAAAATTATAAATTGAGTTATAGATCAGGAGTCATGCTAACTATTGTAGGCAAAGTTTCACTGATGCTTGCCCTATAATTCATATAATTTAGGATCTTTAGTGCACCCAGGGCTGCCATGTACAGTTGAGCAGCTTGTTCCCAGAGGTGCCCACCCAAAGTACCAAGGAGAAGCTGAAAAGCAGCCTGTGTTTTACTTGTCAAGCCATGTGCCCTGGCAGAAATCTGTGTTTGCCTTGGCAAAGTGTATTTCCAAAATGATAGAAACCTAAATCCTCTATAAAAATATAGTAAGCAGCATCAAAGTATTATTTAACTCCTTCAAAACAAGATAATAAAGTTAGTTCAAAAGAGTTTATAGGGCTGGGTGCAGTGGCCACCCTTGTAATCCCAGCACTTTGGGAGGCCAAGGCAGGTGGATCACCTGAGTTCAGGAGTTCGAGGCCAGCCTGGCCAACATGGTGAAACTCCATCTCTACTAAAAATACAAAAATTAGCCGGGTATTGTGGCAGATGCCTGTAATCCCAGCTACTTGGGAGGCTGAGGCAGGAGAATCTCTTGAACCGGGGAGGCAGAGGTTGCAGTAAGCCAAGATCGCACCACTGCACTCCAGCCTGGATGATGAGAGTGACTCCATCTAAAAAAAAAAAAAAAAAGAAAAGAAAAGAGTATATAAGCCAGTTAAAGTGCTGAATAAGTTGGCTAAGGTAGATTGAAAACTGATTAATGACCAAGAGGGTTAAAAAAAATAATAATCTTTGAATTGTCTTCTCTATGGGACAGAAATACTTTGCATGCTATCACTTTTCTATAAATTAATACCTAACTTTACAGTCTTGGGCTCTTACCATTAAGAAATAGTAAGTCAGTCAAGCAGCATTACATTCCCCAAGAACCTTAAGGCAGAACCATTAGGTAATGCTCCAGTATGACATGGAAAAAATGCTCAGTGACAATTTTTCCACACTCCCAAGTTTTGATATATTGTGTCCATGGAGGAAGGAGAACTTTTTAAATTTCCATAAACCCCTGCACCTACTGAGCTACAATCACCCAGAAGGACATCTTGAATTCATAGAAGCCTTCCTCAGGGCTAATGGCAGTCCTGAAGATCCCTCTAGAGTATCCTAGCTGTGTCTTGGCATCTGTGGGGGTAACTTGGGTATTCCTGCATAGCCTTTGTGTTTTTTGTTTTGTGCTTCTTGTGAAAGCCACCCAAAAGCAGAGCATATGCCCAGCTCCTGCTTTCCCCTGAGGCTTTGCTGTCTGCACTGCTGCAGATGCCAACAATACCACTCACTGGGGCAGGTGACTAAACTTGAGCTGCCCTGGCAGGAGGGAATCTCTAGAATCTTCAGTACCCTGAAGCTTATATCCACGGTCTCCTTGGAAAAGAAGAGAATCCTCTCCTTTCCATGCTACAGAGTCCCCTCTGTCATTTGAGCCATTCATGCAGTGAAGTCTGTCTCCACATCTCAAGAATCCCTGCTGGAAAACATCTTCATTAGCTTCCACTGCAGTCCTCCATAGGGCTCAAATCAGTTATTTAGGTCAGGCAGGATGCCGTCCCATCCACTTGAAGATTATTTGGTCAAGCTTTTCTCCTCCAGTCAAAAACTTTCATTCGGATGACTCCCTGACAGTCTTCATAGTGAGTTTATCAGATATGTCCAGGCACATCTGGCTCCCAATTTAAGTTCACACTGGAATCTCACCTACATTGTGTAAGGAAATTATAGATGAGAGGTGGAAAGATAAATGGATCATCAAAACAATGATCCGTTCATCCTCCCACCCCCATGCATACCTGACTGTAATCCTGGTACCAGTCCTAGTGTGAGAGCCTTTAGCATATGCTCTTCAGAAATTGCTATTTGTTCTGCCACCTTCTTTGGACAGGCTTTAAAGTGAGAATTCAGATAAATCAGCTCAGCAGCCTCAGCTGAACCCTACATTTCATGACCTGCCCAGACTTCATAGGGAAGAAACTGCACATTCCAGGGCTCCTTGGATGATGAGATATTGTTCATAACTGTACTGCCACATAATTGCTACTTTATTTCTAAGGAGAGCTGCAGTGTAATTAAAATCATTAAAGGTGCAGAAAAATCAATCCCTGGCTACAGAGTTGAGTACAGAGAGACTTTCCAAATAGCAGCAGCAGCAGCAGCAATCAATCTTCCCACAAGCTCCCAGGGCAATGCATGTGGATGAGGGGTAATTTTGTTGTTATATCCCATCTTCAAGTTTCCCTAGGAAGAGATTTTCAAATAAAGGTACTCACTAATGAAAGAGATGCACTAAGCCCTCAAGTTGTCTGCCTATGGACAGCAAGGAGCAGAGTCAAAAATAAGTTGTATTCTTTACAAAGAGGGATGAGCTGGAGCAGACTAAATCTGCTGCAATTATGTTCAGTAATGAAGCTAGTTCCACCCAAGGTGTCTAATGTAGAGGAAAGGGAGTTCTTCCTGATTTTAATGCTATACTCTTTTCATCCAGACAAACAGGTAGCCACATCACTGAATACCAATAACTTTGCCTAGTGAAGCAGGATCAAAGACTTCACTCTCTAGGAGATTCATGAATTTCTCCAAATCACCCTCTCTCTGTCTCTCTCCTCTGCATCCCCCAGCTCCCTACTTCCCCACACACACTTGTGTACTAACACAATGTCACTGAACTATGAAAGGTTCTAACCTCTACCCTCAAGCCTCCTCCTCTTCCCCCAAACACTCATAGAATGCTTGTTCTGTACAAGGTACATGCTAGTCTCTAGGACCACAATGAAATGATAAAACCATGGATCCAGGCCTTAAGATATTTACTGGAGAATTGCATGACTGGGACAAAGGTGTCAGCAGAAAAATCACATGCTAAGCAACCTGTGGATGATTGAGAAGAATTAACATGTTGCTATGGGACCTCAAAGCAGAGAGAAGTAGCCATGGAAAAAGGCTTACAGCTTAAGTTACGTATTTGAGGAAAGACAGAGCTTTGAAGAGCAGGGAATTTCAGGGGCATTGGCAACAAGAGGAATCCTCGGGGCAGAGCAAGGAAGTACAGTGCTGCTCACAGGCTCTGTGCTACAGTCTCTGGCAGCTCTGTGAATGACCAAGGAAGAATGCCAGGAGCATACTCACCCGTCTCATCTTCACAGATTTTCAAATTAAATTTTGAAAGCCATTTCATTACCTAAACTAATCTACTTTGAATTCAATAAGCCATAAATAAAAGGGAAGGTAGCAGCTTAAATCATTTGATGTAAGCCATTAACTCATGAATTGCCTCTCTTTTTCTGCTCTGCATGATAACTCAGAGCTTTAGAGTTTACAGGGCCCAAGTGAAGTTACGGTCTTTTTTTCCTGCTTGTGTAATAGAATATCACAGACTGGGTAATTTATAAAGAACAGAAGTTTAGTTGACTCATAGTTCTGGAGTCTGGGAAGTCCAAGAGCATAGCACCAGCATCTGCAAGGGTCATCTCATGGCAGAAGTATGGAAGGCACAAGCAAACATGGAAGACACAGAGAGAAGAAAAGCGCAAGGGACAGACTCTCTTTTGTAACAACCCACTCTCGTGATAACTAACCTGCTCCCATGATACTGACCTCATATTAGGCTCCACTTCCCAACACCGTTGCATTGAAAATTAAGTTTCCAGCACATTAATTTAGGAGACACACTCAAACTATGTTTGCTTTAAGCTATGTGACTCTGGGCAAGTTATTTAACCTCTTCATGCCACAGACTTTGATCTATAAAATGAGGTAAATGATACATCCATTGCAAAGATAAGGTGCTGTCTATATAAAGCTTAAGACAGTGCCTGGTCCATGTAGGTGGTTAATAAATAGAGTTTTTATTACTGTTATTACCAGCTTCATTCATAGTCTTAACCCTTTCCCATCCAATACATGTCCCAAAAGCCTTATTTGCTTGCCTGCACAGATAAGCAAGGGGATGGGGGAATCCTTTGGGAACAATACTTTCCAATATGGTAGCCACTAACCACGTGTAGCTATTTACATTTAAATTCATTAAAAGAAAATAAAATTTCAAACTCAGTTCCTCAGTCAGACTTGCCTTATTTCAAGGACTCAATAGTTACTTGAGACTAAGAACTCCCATATTGGACAGCACAGATATAGAATGTTACCATCATCAGAGGAAGATCTATTTGACAGCCTGGCCTAAGAATATTTTTTACTGCAAACAACAGTAAATCCATCTTACAAGGATTACATAAATGGCTCTTAACCAAGGGTAACAGTATGCTCCAGGAAATATTTTGGAATATCTGAAGACATTTTTGATGGTGACAAATATGGGGCACTATTCATAGAGTGGGTAGAGGCCAATGATGCTGCTACAATGCACCAGACAGTCCCCCACACAAAGAATTGTTAGCCACAAATGTCAATAGTGTCAAGATTGAGAAACCCTGAACTACATAAATAGAACATTTTTCTCATGTAACTAGAAGTTAGGGGCTCAGTGCTGCTGACATCAGTGATACAACGGTGCGAGAGCCAGCACTTTGTGATTCTCTTTGCTCTGCCTACATAATGATAAAGTGGTTGCTATAACTCCAGGAATCACATTCTTTTTCAAGATAGAAAGGAAGAGAAGAGGGACATAGAGTCAACTGTGTCTAGAGCATGTTGGCTGAAATCCCAAACCAAGTTGTGGACTATTACAATGGCAAAGGGATTACACAGAAATGTTCATCACAAATTTACAAGTCTTCAAGGCCAGGCTTGGTGGCTCATGTCTGTAATCCCAGCACTTCAGGAGGCCAATGCAGTGGATCACCTGAGGTCAGGAGTTCGAGACCAGCCTGGCCAACATTGTGAAACGCTGTCTCTACTAAAAATACAAAAATTAGCCAGACATGGTGGCAGGTGCCTGTAATCCCAGCTACTTGGGAGGCTAAGGCAGGAGAATCACTTCAACCAGGGAGGTGGAGGTTGCAGTGAGCCAAGATCGTGCCACTGCATTCCAGCCTGGGCAACAAAAGTGAAACTCCATCTCAAAAAAAAGAAAGAGAAAGAAATGTACAAATCTTCCAGAATACTGGCACCATAACCGCCAGATGCTTTTACAGAGTTTGAAATATTACTCCTGCTAATATTTCATATTTAATACTTCTACTACAGTACTTAAAAAAACAACAACACATACACCTTGGAAAAATAGCATGCTTTGGTGATTTTTAACTATCTGACAATTTTTTTGTTTGTAGCCCTGAGGCCAGAATCTATTAAACTCTTGTATTGTTAAAGACTTTTTACAAGGAAAAGGTCTTAACTTTTAACCAGTAAAGAAAAGCTTTCCAAAAAACCTTCCCCAGGAAATTTTCCCTTATATCTCAAAGGATAGAATTGGGTCATATGGTCATCCCTAGATGTAAAGGAAGCTGGAAAATCAAGGATTTGACTTTCTAACCCTTGTATGAGAAACAGCCAGGGAGAAAAGGGTACAAACGACTTTTGCATCTGCCCCGGTATTCACATGGACCATGATCTGACAAGCAACCTTGAAGTTGTTTATAAAATAATGGGACATCTGTAGATCACAAATGTCCATCATGCTATGATATCTTCAAAATGTGAAAGATTAGGAAAACTCTTTACAGTGTTTTCAGATTGTTTTAAAGACACATGTCTCTCATTGTGAGACTCTGTGATATAGAGGGAATCTTTTTTTCTCTTTTGCCTCTAAGAACACTGGGGCTTAGCAAAGTTTAATGGCCAAGTGGCAAGCCACACAGGAAAGAAAGAACTGAAAACCAGGTTACATTGTATTTAGTCCAGCCCTTTTTCTTTTGGAATCTCAAACATTTGTTAAGTGTGCCTCAAGTTTTCAATCCTTCCATAATAGCTAATAATGAGGCTCAGGCCATTGAAGTTGCTTGCCCAGGAGTTGTACAGTTAGTAGTAAAACCCAGAGCCAGGAGTAAGTCCAGCTCTGCATGACTCCAGAGTCCATGTATGATGTCAGCCTCAACCTTTCTCTGCTGCAGAATCATCACCATAAATCACATGGTCCTCCTGTGCCACTGCCCCTAAACCATGCAGTAGATCCACAAGGCTGATAGAATAAAGGATAAATGAATTAGTGTGGTATTCAAGACTCTCCATCACCTAGTGTCAAGCCAATTTTCCAACCAAACACCCAGCCAATCCTGCATCTCCCCAACAGCCCCCTCCCCCACAACCCACCATACACACTTCCTGCAGCTCCGTCAGATAACTCCCTGTCCCTAGAATGGTCAAATGCTATTCCCCTACCCCTTCTCTGTGTGTTAAAATATACTCAGCTTAAAAACCACCTCCTCTTGGAAGTTTCCAAGATAAGTTAGTCTCTTTGCTTTTTATGCCCTGGCCTCACTGTTTGTGACTGTCTAGAGAAGTGCTTCTCAAATTTTAATATGCATATGAATCACTAGCTCTGAGTTGGGTCTGAGAGTCTACATTGCTAATAAGCTCCCATGTGATGTGATGCTGTTGCTCTATAGCATATTTCATATTCTACCGCATAGTGGGGTTAATAATGGCCATGCCTAGCTCCCCTCATGTGATTACAACCTTCCTGAGGCAAGAACTGTAGGACACACCCTTAAACCCTAGTGAGGCACCTGGAACATAAATAAGTGCCTAAAATTGACTGCCAATTAGAAATAAAACTGCAGAACAATTCATTCTCCCATCCAATTTTTACTCATCTTCAGATGTAAATCGTTTCATAGTTTGAGACAGGCATAAAATAGATAATAATGAAATTAAAGGTCAATTTTCCAATAATCTGATAACTCTTGCTTGAAGTAGACCCTTGACAAACAACGAATGAATGAAAGTAAATGAAATTTAGTTGCTCTGAGCAGGACTCAAGTCTTTTAGGTTGAGTCTGGTTCCTTGGACCATAAGCCAAAATCATGATGATCTCTTCTTCCCTACAGGCATCTCCAGCTGCCCTGGCAAAGAGTGTGTTGGCTGAAGTCCCAAACCAAGTTGTGGACTATTACAATGGCAAAGGAATTAAACCAAAATGTTCATCAGAAATGTATGATTCTTCCAGAACACTAGCACCATGAACTCCCACACAGTTTTACAGAGTTCTGAAATACTACTCCTGCTAATATTTCATATTTAATACTTCTACTCCTATACTTTAAAAAGAAAACAACACATACACATTTAAAAATAGCACGTTTTGGTGATTTTTAACTATCTGACATTTTTTTTGCATGTGTAGCCCTGAGGCCTGGATCTGTTAAACCCTTGTATTGTTAACTTTTTACAAAGAAATACAGATAATAATAACTTACTATTTACAGCATGTCGCCTTGAAATATAATGGTATCTGTATCCATTTTTTATACATGTTTGTTGAAATTTTGCTAAATTTCTTATCTTTACACTCTAAAGCATTTTGAAACCTTTATTGAATGTTGATAGCCAAAATATACTTGGTTTTATCTGCTATAGGATGAGAGACTTTTTAAAATGGCAGATGCATGGACTGTATTTTGCATGTTTAAAATAAAAAAAGAAAAACCCACACTTTTTGCAGTTGTTATCTCTAATTCCTCCCTACTGAGAATGGTCTCTCTACTAACGAAGAGGTTTATCCACCTCTTCTTTTTTGAGGTGGGTCTTTTTGAGGTAGGTCTGAATCATCTGGCCCAGCACCTCTCACACTTTACTGTGCACACAAATAACCTGACAGTCTTTTTAAAATTCAGATTGTGATACAGTAAGTCTCTGTGGGGCCCAAGATTTTGCATCTTTAACAAAGTCCCAGGTGATGCTAACGCAGTCCCTGGACTACATCAAGAGGAGTGAGGTTCTAGACTTTAGGGTGTCATGATGGAGACTATCAAGAACAGGGCAGCTTCTAGTCTGCTTGAGAACGGCACCTCTTCCTGACAGTAGCATAAAAGTCCTGCCTGTCTCAGAGGTGAGTAGAAAGTAATAAGACTGACTCCAGAAGCTGCACACCTCAAATCAGTCTCGCTGCTTTATACTCACACCACTTCCTTAGGCAAGACTAGAAAGTGCTCTTCCTGGCCAGTCCCTGCCCTCTTAAAAGTGGCATCACACACCACTGCATGGATGGTGTCAATCCCTAGAAGTGACCTCAGAGTCTTCACTGGAACCACAACCATAGAAACTTACCCATGGCAAATGGCCATGCAGTACAGCTCCCGATATCTGGTCCACTAAGTTCACCTTTGAGCTTAGTGTGGAAACTTCTTTCTCCTTTCTATCACTTCTGAGAGCAAACTCCATAAGCAGAAATCCCTGGAATTATTGGATGGAGGTGTTTTGTTTCAATATAAGCTGGCCAGTCTGGAACCAAAAGAATGAATGTTTAACTTGTATGATCTTCTTGCAGAGAAACAGACAAGTGTTTTTGCAAGCATAAAAGGCAAAAAGTGGAGTGTATTTTTGGTCAGAGAGATGGATAAGTAAATCACAAGGCAAAATTTGTTGTTTGTTTGAAGGGGGGGAGCAGTATTAACAAGCAAATAAAATGCCTTGTATGATTTCCATAGTTGCAATTGTAGATCCTAATCTTGCAAATACATGTTAACCAAAAGCACAACATTTTGGGAATGATGGTATAATTGTATAACTGAAACAAATCATAAATATTTAAACGATATTGTTTTATTAATAAATTGAGTACTTACAGAATTTTTCTAAGAGTTGTCTTGTTTCTCTTTTCAAGGCATTTTCCTAACAGTAATTTATTTCACGTAGATAATGTGGCCTCAGATTAGAAGTAGCTCTTTCATAGTCCAGTGGAAACATGGATTGCTGCTTCTAATAAACAAGGAATTAAAATATTTAGGTACTATATTACAGAAATATCCAGTGATTATTTCTAATCCCAAACCAAGACATGAACTTCCGTGTCTACGTACCTGGAACATAGTAAACGCTCAATAGACATTTAATAAATACAGAGATGGCTAATAAATAAATGAAGGAATAGACTTGTTGATATGCCTTACGATCAATCTTTAAGCCATTGTAGATTTAACAGGTAGGTTCAGTGTTGTATCTATCAGTCAAATGATGCACCATGTTATTCACAAAGATTGACTGGGATTTCTACACTCACATCAGGATTCCTGGAGTCTGTGACATGGGGCAGAGAGGATAGAGTGCAATTGGCCTGTCAGAACCTTAAGGCAGTTTACTTTCCTTTTCACAGTTCATCTCAAAAGAATAGTAAAAACAATGCCTATGAATTACTGAAGGATGTCTTAGGTCAAGTTGCTATAACAAAATACCATAAACTGAGTAGCTTAAACAACAGAAATTTACTTCTCACAGTTCTGAAGTCTGGCAAGTCCAAGATCAAAGTACAAGTCAATTTGATTCCAGGGCTCGCTTCTGGCTTGGAGACAGCCATTTTCTTACTATGTCCTGTCGTGACAGAGAGGGCAAGCTAGCTTTCTTGTCTCTTCTTATAAGGGCACTAATCTCCTCACAAGGATCCCACCCTCATGATCTCATCTAAGTCTAATTAGCTCCAAAAGTCCCCACCTCTTCATACTATCACATTGAGAGATAGGCCTTCATATATAAATTTTGGAGGGACACGAATATTCAGTCCATAACAAAAGGTTACTGTATGCCAGGCACTGTTCTAAGTGCTTGTCATGTACTATCTCATTTAATCCTCCCAACATCCTTGTGAGATAAGTAGTATTAATAATCTTATACTTTGCAGATGAGGAAACTGAGACACAGAGAGGTTAGATACCTTGCCAAGATTGCACAGCTATCAAAGTTCAGAGCCAGGATTTGAATACAGATCCTCTGGCTTCTAAACTCAAACTCATAGCATATTCCCCATTTAGGCTATCCTTCTGGCACCATACTCATTCACTTGCCATATTAAGCAGCAGATTATTAAGAAATTTGAGAGAAATGAGCCTTAAAATATCCTTTGCTCCCAATTTCAGAAAGTCCCGTCTCATCTGATGATCTCAGCTTGTTGTTTTGGGCACTTGGTGTCTCGTGATGTATGACATCCTCCTGAAAGCAATAGAAAATTCTCAAGCCACAACCAGTTCTTCCCAACTTGTTGCCATCAAGGAGACCATTTGGGTTGGACATTACAAATACAGATGCTTCCAGGAGCTGCACAAGCCATATGAATAACTAAGGAAAAACAGGTTTAAACAGAGGACATAAAGAGCCAAGTAAGAAGAATGGAGAGAAGCTAGAATGTGTGTGTCCAGAAGAAGGCAGCTGCTACTCAGGTCCAGGGGCCATGCTAGAATGTGGACCAATGCAGCCAGCCCATCCCCTTTTTCAAGAAAATTTAAAAACCTGGTATTTCACATAAAACCTACTGATCTATAAATATTGAAAACTCATTAAAAATTCAGCAATTGTTTTAAAAGACTACAAGGGCCAGCTGGCCGCAGCGGCTCATGCCTGCAATCTCAGCACTTTGGGAGGCCAAGGCGGGCAGATCACCTAAGGTCAGGAGTTCGAGACCAGCCTGGCTAGCATGGTAAAATCCCATCTCTACTAAAATACAGAAGTTAGCTCAGTGTGGTGGTGCATGCCTGTAATCCCATCTACCCTGGGGGCTGAGGCAGGAGAATCTCTTGAACCTGAGGCAGAGGTTGCGGTGAGCTGAGATCGCACCACTGCACTCCAGCCTGGGTAATAGAGCAAGACTTGGTCTTAAGAAAAAAATAAAAAGACTACAAGAACCAATCTGTGCAAGTCAAATGAAAAATACCACCAGGCTTATGTTGGCTTTGTATGCAAATTTGGAACCACTGAGTTATTTCTGTGTATGGCCTGCTCTCCACTGAGTCTCAACAGATAATATACACACTTTAAAATTCCTGAAGACTCTAAAGAGGTTTTATTTCTGTGGCTTATATTGATTAATATTTGCCATATTAGAAATTGAAACTGAAAATGTAATATATTTATTAATTTATTTAAACAATAATAATAGACCCATTACATAACATAAATGAAATACTTTCATAACAAACTATATTTTCAAAACCAAAAAATAGTTGGTGAGAAGAGCAGCACTGTTTTACAATGTTTTTGAAACTTCCAGTGTCCTGTTTAATAAAAGATTGCTAGATTCTTATATCTGCTTCTGTATTCAACGTGTTGTGAAATATGTTTTGGTTGAAGTACAATGTTGGAAACCTGGCCTCACGTGGACATGTAGTTGGAAAGGGGAGAGCTATTTTTAGCTTTTTCTTTTTACCACATCCAAACTCAACAAGTGGTAGTGTTTTAAAGGATAGTTGCAATGTGGAATATGAAATCTTATCAATAAAACTGTCCTAGCATTTTCAATGGTTCTTTTACCCATGCATGACTTTGTAGCAGCATGCACCGATCATTCAGAAATATTGATCCACTCAGCTATTTAGATGTTCCAAATGCTTGCACAGTTTATTTTATAATATCAAAAAAAACCCTGCATTTTCTATTGCTATACAATATCACTGCTGATTTCACCAGACAATCTTTAAGTATGGAAAATCTGTCAAATTATGGTGACAGGTTCAGGCTTTCCAAATCGCTAATCTTTGCTAGAAAGCTCAAATGTTATCATTGCCAATAAATACTGTCAGTTGTTTTTCTTGAAGTGACAGGCTAAATTCAATCATTTTTAAGAAAATATCTCCCAAGTTTGAATAACTCTGGTTTATCTGTCAGTCTCTTTACAAGTAAAGATGATGTTCTGTGGGAAAGAAAAGCAGCTAAATTAGCTCCAAACACAGTGGCCTGTGTGTTTTTCCTTGAGGCAACCATTTTAGGTTAAATGCAGCAAAAGCACTTTCTGGTGCTTTGCAATTGGTCTCCCAGCATTTGAGACATGGACTCACAGGTCAAGATTTAATAAAAATGATAATTTTCCTACTGCATCAGGAACACTGTTAAGTGAAACTCTTATGTTTTTTTCTGCAAGTGTGTGATGGTGAAAAATTCAGGGAACATTAGTGTCAAGTGGTGCCACTTTCTTGATGTGAGCTACGGCCCCAACAGTTTTACCCCCCATCGCTTTTGCACCATTGATGCAAATGTCAATATAGCGAAAAAGATGAACAACATTTTAATGTTATTATGAAAATAGTTTCTACTTCACAGACTCCCTGAAAGGGTCTCAGGGATCTCAGTCTGAGAACTGCTTTCTATATGCTACTTGCCAAAATTGTATTTGTTCGCTATTTCTGCATAACACATCCACAAACTTAGTGTTTAAAACAACACACATTATCTCACTGTTTCTATAGGTCAGAAATTCAAGAAGATTTAGGTCCATCCTCAGCTTAAAGTCTTACAAGGCTAAAATCAAGGTGTCAAGGCCAAGGCAGGAAGATCACCTGAGGTCAGGAGATTGAGACCTGCCTGGCCAATATGGTGAAACCCCAACTCTACTAAAAAATACAAAAATTAGCTGGGCATGGTGGCACACACCTATAATCCCAGGTACTCAGGAGGCTGAGGTGGGAGAATCGCTTGATCCTGGAAGGCAGAGGTTGCAGTGATTAGAGCATGTAGGAATAAATCTGTAAAAGGAGTTGCCCTTATGAAGGGAGGGGAACCACTTACAATAGACCCTCAGTGCAGTCTTTTAAGAAATATAGATGGCAAGCACAAATCAAATTCTGGTGCATTAACTTGTATTACAGCAAAATTCTCAGTTTAGCACCAAGATTTTCAGGCAAACATTATTAAGTACAACAAACTTAAAAAAGAGAATGTGACCAGTTTCCCAAGGTTTATCTAATACACTTATGTAATTCAGATGTCCCCAAAATTTCTCCAACCTTCCAACAAAATACCCCAACAGGAATGTGGTAGTGGTTCACAACATCTTGAATGTACTAAATGCCACTAAATTGTACTCTTTGAAATGACTAATTTTATGTTATATAGGTTATGTTATGTGACTTTCACATTAACTAAAATGACACACAATAAAATGTTCTAATACCCCGGTGTATTAGATTAGCATGTTATCCAGTCACTCACCTGTTTCCCCTCCTAAACCCATCCTCATGTCTCACTTTGGATGTGGTTCCAGGTTCCTCTGCTAATTACTCCCTGCCCTTGTATCACATTAACACATTTCTAAATGGCTGCATTTTTCTTTAAATCATACCCACACTCACCACTCCTGACACCACTATGGACATATTTTCCTTGCTTAATCCCCCAAAGTACAACCAAGAATGGAAAGTAGTATTTAGCAAAGCTTTCCTGAAAACTTGGAGTGAACAAAGGAAACTATGATACAAAAGAGATAAACATAAGACTGAATCCTGTGTTTGCTGTAAGGAGTCATAGGCTATAAAATATATTGTTAATTTAATAACTCAGGAGAAAAAGAAAAATCTCATTAAACATTTATGAAAGTTTCATTTAAAAAATTTCTTAGTTGTCAATAATTACACAGTTTCATCCCTGCAATTCCATATCCTTTCTTCTTCAGTGTCAAAATGCATCTAAGCCTTCTTCATATTGTTAATTTAAAGGTTCTTCTGCCATTTGCAGTTACACGGAGCATCATTAAAAAAAATTGCTGTATTCATAAACAGTGTGTGAGATCCTGACGTTTCTGGATCTTTAGTATGTGTAATATAATAATGAAGCTTGCTCAGAAGCACTGATGTTTTGTAGGCATTTCTTAT